CCATCAAAGGTTCTAAATCTTAAGGGGTTTTTATGGGCTTGTTGGTGAGCTGTTTTAATCTGATTAACTCTCCTATGCCTGTCATCCAATCAGGTTTTTGTCACCTATCTATCATAAGGGAGACAGGGGAGCGCTCCTTCCGGGGTGGTGTAAAATCCTTTTGAGGGTGGGTTCCTCTTGAGGGACTGTGGGGGGGGGTGCCTTATTCCTGCCCAATTACACTAAGGAATTAACAAGCCCATAAACCTAGGAGATTTTAATTCATCTCTCAAAAACTGATAAATCAAGATTTAAAAAATAAGGATTTAGAATATATTAAAACCTTACATAGGAGGGAAAGCAAGATAGAAACTTGCATCCCAAAAGACACTAACTAGCCTCTTCAAGCAAAAACTGGCCACATGGAAAGCCACTAAGGAAATCTCAACCAATTTCTTAGAACTGACCTTTAAAATGAAGTCATATGGACTGTAGAAAAATTGGGAAATGTGGATTTTTTAAAGCACAAAATAAAAATTATCTGTCCTCCCCTCTCTGCCTGGAGATGGCCTCTTTTAATATTTGACATATTTCCTTTCGGTCTTTTTCAAAATGTGTATTTATACCTGCTTTTCTTTTTCTTCCCTTCTTTTTTTCATAGGGAGATTTGCCGCATATTCCTTTCGTGTCCTGTTTTATTTGCACATAATGTCCTAGTTTATTTCTGCTGTAAGGGCACTAGCCTCCCTGGAGTTTATTTGCATTCCACATCCAGGCTAACGGAAGGAGTATCTGCTCCATGCGATAACGTGTGGCTCTCAGGAGAAAGTGAGTATTCACGGCGGTAAGATGTGTTCACCCTTAGGTAAACCAGAAGGAAAGTGGCGACAGAATGCCTTACAGGAGAGGTGGAGAGGAAGTTATCAGAGTTGAAAAAAAGCCGGATGGTCCCTCTACCAAAAGGACCCTGGTGCCTCCTCTCACCCCCAATTCAGAACCTGCAGGATCCGGGCGGAGGAAATGCTCACTCACACCCGGCGGACTCCTGAGAGAACAGGCCCACCAATCCCACGTGCAGAGCGAGGGGAGAGGAGGCGCTAACTAGGGGCGGTGGAAGAAGCCAAAGGACAGTCCCTGGGAGAATGGAGATGTAGAAGAACAAGGCAGAATCAACACGGGGTCCCTCAAAGGACGTCGAGTCTTCGGCCCCGCCTCCCCTCACCACATTCCCATCGCTAAATAAAGTCACAATCGTCTGTGTACGGCATCTGGACCCTTCCGGTGTCAATGCCCTCTAACCCCGCAGCAGAGGTCAAGGTGCTCGAGCAGGGGGCGGGGAGGAACCAGCCCGGGAGCGATGGGCGGGGCGGCTCTTAGGGCGCGGCGACTGGAAGGAAGCCAGGTCCCCGCCCTTCTGCTGTGGCTTGTGTCGGGAAAGCAGTGCCCTGCGGCAGCGGATGTCCCGGGTTTCTCCCGCCTTCAGCGCTCCCACTCAGCGGAACCTGCCCCTGGCGAGCCGCGCCCCCTAAGGGACCTGGATTTAAGGCTCAAGCAAGCCTTCCTTCCTGTAATTTCTGCTGAGTGCCTGCTTGACACACGGGAGGACTTGATACATTTTAACTGTTGCTATTCTTTTTCTTTAGGTGTGCCCACTTGCTACAGTGATGTGAGGCACAGGCTTTGGTTTAAAAAGTCCTGGGTTTAGGGGCTCCTGGGTGGTTCAGTGGGTTAAAGCCTCTGCCTTCGTCTCAGATCATGATTACCAGGGTCCTGGGATCAAGCCCTCCATCCGGCTCTCTGCTCAGCGGGGAGCCTGCTTCCCCTTCTTTCTCTTTGTCTGCCTCTCTGCCTGCTTGTGATCTCTGTCAAATAAATAAATAAAAATCTTTAAAAAAAAATAAGTCTTGGGTTTAAATCCATCGTCAAACCCCACTTATTAGCTACTTGGCTGTGGCAGAGTGGATTTGCCACGACTCTAGATCTGTTTCCTCAGCTGTAAAATGGAATTAATGTTACCTACTTTATGGGATTGAATTAGCTAATCTATGTAAAGCACTTAGCATAGTGCCCAGCCTGCAGTTAATGGTAGGAATTAGAATTACCATTTAACATATGGTTGTTGGTGTTTCTTGCCCCCCCCCACTACTTCTTCTCCCTCTCTCTTAATTAAATATTTTGGGGTGAGGGAGGCATTTCTTTTGAGACCATTTGGAAATCTATTCCTGTTTTTCAGTAGCCTCATTTTTCCATTTTAGTTCATCTTAGTATAATGCATCCATGCTTTCTAGTGTGGAGGGCAGAGATTTAAAGAAATAGAGAAATAAGTGAAGTTACATATAGCTCAGGTGTCCTTCAATAGATACCTGTATCAACACAAACAAGGAAGCAGACAAAAGAGAGTGGATCCACAAAGGCTTTATAAAGGAAGCAACTCTTCAGCGTCATCTTGAAATATAAACGTTTGGAATCAGATAACCCTGTATTTGGACCTATGCTCTGCCACTGACTAGCTGTGGGTGAATTAGGTTATCATCTGGCCCGAGTGTCTGTCACCTCGTGTATTCAGTGATGATACTAACATCCACCTACAAGTTGGGTGGGATTAAATTAGCTGATAAATGTGAAAGCCCAAGAAATTGACAGATAGTAAATTATTAATACATGCTGCTTCTATTAGCTTCCAACTCTCTCCCGTCCTATCTTCTGCATTACCTTCTCCCTACTAACTCTTCCAGCCTCCCTCCCCCTCTCATCCTTAATTTAGTTTGCTGTCACCTGGAAACCTAATACCCGTCCTAGCTACTAAGAAAAATATAAAGCCAGGGTGCCTAGGTGGCTCATTTGATTAAGCTTCTGCCTTCAGCTCAGGTCATGATCCCAGGGTCCTGAAATTGGGTCCCACATGGGGCTCCCTGCTCAGTGGGCAGCCTGCTTCTCCCTCTCCCTCTGCCTCCTCTCTCAAATAAATAAATAAAATCTGAAAAAAAGAAAAATATAAAGCCGCCGGAGTTGCAGGTTGACATCTGGTCATTAATGGTCCATTGATGAAGATATTCATCCATGGACAACTTCTATGGTTACCTGAAAACATCTGCCCCTGTTGTCCATAGCATGCCTTAGAGCATATTTTTCCAGCTTTTTGAGAAAAGTGAAATGCAGGTTTGAAACGGAAGTCTTGCCAAAGCTTGAGATCAAGTTCAGCTATACCTTCTCAACCTACCAACCCTCAAGACTCTGTCACTTAAAATGAGGTTAGTCCAATAATATGTGCTCTTTCACGATTTGACCTGTGACCATTTTTTTTTTTAAAGTATTCTATTTATTTATTTGATGGAGAGAGAGAGAGAAAGAGAGCGCACACAAGCAGGGGGAGCCGCAGAGGTAGAGGGAGAAGCCGGTTTGCTGACCAGGGAACTAGCTGCAGGGCTGGATCCCAAGACTCCAGGACCATGACCTGAGTCAAGGCAGAAGTTTAACTAACTGAGCCACCCAGGTGCCCCGACTTGTGACCGTTTTTTACTGACTTTTTTTGGGGGGGGGACAACAAATTAAAATTTGAAATTTCCCAAGCCAATCCTTTGTTTTGAATGATGAGGATTTCATTTCTTCATGTAAACCGCCATGCCAAGAAGGCATGGAGGGGAATTGAGTTTGCTTCTCTAGAGAGGAAAAGGCTAGGAGGGGACATTAATCCTGGACCGCAGCCTGTGATGGTACCTCCTCTGTAGCACGAAATTGACCTGAGGATTGTGTCATTTTAGCCAGTAAGCACTAGAGAAAGAAGACCAGAGATCAAAGCCTCACCGACCACCCCTGCTGGGAACATAGTCAATCCTGATTTCAGCTACAGTTGCTAATGTTTTCTCATCTGAAACGAGGTCCCGCCTGACCTTATCAACTTCCTGCCTCCCTCCTGCAGACAACTCTCCTGGAGTCCTCATCTACCTGGTTTTCAACAGCATCACCTGATGGCCTTCATTCCCTCTCCACATCCCCCATCAACAATGAACTAATGACTGGGGACAGCAGCCCCGAGCTTGCCTTCCAAGTGTTGACCATCTTGAAACCCACAAGCTGATTACTGTAGAAAATCAAGTAAAGCTAAGCATAACTAAAAGGGAGCACACGTGAAGAGTAGGGGCATGAGTTTCTTCCAGCCTCAGGGGGAAAGGCGTTCACTAAGAGCCCAGCTGCCCAAAGTGGGTTCCTGGGGAAAATCCACTCTTCCTCTCCATTGTGTGAGGTCACTGGTTTAGAACAGTTAAGGACATGAACTTCGAGTCAGACTGCCAGGGTCTGAAACTCAGCTCAGTCCATAACTAGCGTGTGGCCCTGGCAAATGACTTCACCTGCCTGGTCCTCAGTCTCCTCCTCCCTAAAATGGGGACAGTGATAATGTCCCCATATCGCACAGACCTGGGGTGCGGATAAACTGAGTGCAGAGATGTGAAACACGTGGTATATAATAAATACGAATCAGGGCTACCAACCCGTGTAATTTACGACTCGGTGTTACTGAGAAGAAGCCACGGACAAGTGAGGCGAGCCATCCTGTCTACGTGATTAACTAATACTGTCCGGGGAGGAGCGAGTGTTAAAGGCACCGTCTGGGATGGCTTGTATAATGTCATCCTCAAGCAAAATGCCTTGTAATTGGCGCAGCCCCTAACACACACGTCCGCCCGAGCATGCACGCGAGGCGGGGCTGCTCGGCTGCGTGGTCTGGGTCTGGTCTGTAAACACCCGCGGGCGAGCCCGCGCGGCGTGTCCGCTCGGACCGCCGGGTGAGGCTGCGTCTCTGTGTGTCACCGACACACACACACACACACACACACACACGCACACACTGATATGAACCCTGCTTCGACGTGCGTGTCACGGCTTAAAAATAGAGGCTAAGCCGTCAGCCGGTCTCGCAGCGGCAGCGGCAGCAGCAGCTGCAGCGGGCGGGGGCGGCGGCGGTGGCGGCGGTGGCGGCGGCGGCGGCGGCGGCGGCGGCGGCGGCGGCAGGAGAGTCATGGCCGTGGCGCTGACTGCGCCTGCCCTCGGCCTCCGGGACTGAGACCCCGCGTCGCGCTCGCACCGAGGTAGAGGGGCTGCGGGGCGGGGGCGGGGGCGGGGGTGGGGGTGGTCGCCTCCCTCGCGGCGCCTAGAGGCGCACGGCTCGGGGCTGGGGGTGGTGGGGAGGGAGGATCGAGGGAGGGGACGCGGGAGCCGAGCCAGCTGAGCTCCCCAGGGCTCCCTCCCTGCACCCCCAGCGCCGGACTGTCTGGGCTGGCCGCGGCCGGGGCGACAGCCATGAACCTGTTAGAACCGCCCCGGCGGCGGGCGGCCGGCGGGAGGGAGGCCGCGGAGGCGGGCGCCTGAACGCGGCGGATGGGGTTGGAGAAGGCCGAGGGGTGTACCCCGGGACGGAATGGGGTCCTCCAGCCCCGGGGAGAAATAGAGTCCCACCGAGCTCCTTCCCGCTTCCCCTTTACCATGTAGCGTCAATCACCCGGGCAGCAGAAGCTATTTCGAGAAACCGTTCTTTGGGAATAAAGTGATGGGGTCTTTAGGAGTGAGGAGACAAGGCAGGTGATGTTGATGATGGTCGAACGATGATGATGGTGGTGGTGATGGCGATGGTGGCTATGGTGCTATTATCTCTGTGGTCTCTCCACCCCAGCCTTTGCAAAAATCTCTCTCCCTGAACACCCTAAGGTCCAGGCTCCCCTCAGCAGCCCTGATCCTAATGCCCCTGAACGCTAAGACCTGTTATTGCATGGTCTCCCCTGGCCTAGGGGAAAGGAGAGCTGGGGACCCTGGCTCACAGGGAGGGATGGGTTCACAGAGTGTGTGCAGGTCAAAGATGGCCTCTAGCTAGTAGACTTTCGGTTGAGGACCAGAAAGGGAGTAAAAAGGGAGTCCTTGGGACCAGCCCACCCTGGTGATGGGAGAGGAGGAGGAGAAAGGGGCTCTTATCACAATGGCCTCTCTGCCTGAAGGACCCAGGCCAAGTCTCAAAGGCTGGCCCTTCCCAGCTCTGCCGTTCTGAACAAGCTCCCACTTTCAGAAAGGCCAGCTGTCCACAGAGAGTCCAGGGAACACCTGCTGAGCCCCTCCCTGCCAGCCCCATGCCCCGAATAGGGTCACTTGACTCCAACAGTAACACAGATGGCCATTTCAGCCTCTGAGACCCTGGCGGGAGCCCTCATCCTTTCCCTTCTTCAGTCCCCAGCCTCCGCCTCTCCCCCACACACCCAGACACATTACTCCAGCCCTGCTTGACTCAGAAATGAGAGATGAGGTTTGATCAGTAATTTCTGCATGCTGATCGAAGGAGAGTGGTTTGGCCATTGTGCACATAGCTTGGCACCCTCTTCCATTAGTGCATGCCTTCGGCAAGTGTTTTTCAAAAACTTACACTTCCTCTGTATTGCTGTTCCCCCACTCACTCCAGCCCCCAACATACACATCCCACAGTAGGCCTAACTCTGAGGCAGTGGTAGGGCAGGAATGGGTTAAAGAAGCCCATCTCTCTGGTGCTGAGAATCGGGCTTGGCATATGTCATGGCCCCAGCTGCTGCTGTCTTCCCGCTAATCCCCTCCGGATGAGTCCAGAGCCACCCCCCATTCCCATCCCAGCTCCCTGGGCTCTCTGCCTGGAGCCCCAGGCAGATGAGACCCAGATTCCGGCTGGCAAGAGCTCCCACAACGGGCACTGCCACCCAAATATCAAATGTGTGTGTGTGTTTATGTGTGTGTGTTGGGAGTGGGGGTGGAGTGGCAGAGCAGAAAGCCAGCAGCTGGGCAGCTCCCTCTCCCCGTAAACAAGGACATGTGACTCCCACCTCCTTGCCTGGCTGAGCCAAAGAGCAGAAAGGAGCCACTGCAGCTTAAGAGAGAGAGTAATTGTGTCTGGGCCCCCGGCCCCCCACGCCCCACCCAGGGCCAGAGTTCCCTTCCCTCCCTTGAGAGGCATCTCCCCAGGGCCCAGCCCAGCTGGCAAGAAGGGAAGCAGCTGCTCCGGACCCAGTCAGGTGTGTCTCCCTTCCATCCCTCCTGCAGCAACAGCCACCGGAGACTGACCCACCAGCAGCTCGAGGACACGCCTGCAGCCGCCTCTGAGATGTGCCCTGGTAACTGGCTCTGGGCCTCCATGACTTTTATGGCCCGCTTCTCCCGGAGCGGCTCAAGGTCTCCTGTTCGCACTAGAGGGGCCCTGGAGGAGATGCCCTCGGTTCAACATCCTTTCCTCAATGTCTTTGAGTTGGAGAGGCTGCTCTACACAGGCAAGACCGCCTGTAACCATGCCGATGAGGTCTGGCCCGGCCTCTACCTCGGAGACCAGTACGTAGCCAGCAGCCCGGGGTCATGGCTCTGTGTGTGTGTGTGTGTGTGTGTGTGTGTGTGTGTGTGTGTACGCACGCAAGAAGGAGAAGGGTGTCAGAGAGGCCCTGAGTCGTGTTGTTGGTTCCGGGTTGAGGAGGGAGGGGCAGGGGTCCATGGGCAGAGAGTGGAAGCTGGAGGGTTTGGGGGAGCTGGGGCAGGATTATTGATATGCCCAACTCTGGACAGCTAGTCTCTGTTTAAGCAATAATGTCACTCACTTAGCAAAATTAATTATTGAGTGCCGATGTCATGCAGCAGACATCACAGATGACTTCCCTGACCTTCCATCTGTGGTGCCGTGATGCTGGTGAAGGGCAGCCATTGGGGGCCAGGAAGTGGGTGGCAAGCCGAGGGAGTGGCCAGGCAAAGCCGCAGCACACGCAGAGGTCCTGGGGCTTGGGGGCCCTGGAGAGAAGAGCATCCAGGGAAGGGTCCCCCTCACTTTTCTCTCTCTCAAGGGCTTCATAGTCTACAAGGAGCTTTTCACATGCATTTTCTCTCTTAATCTTTACAACAGCTTTGGGAGGTAGGTACCACTGCCCTCAGGTTACAAAAGGCAAAACTGAAGCTCAGAGATGTTGTGACTGGCCCAAGGTCAGATGGGTCGTAAGTAGCAGAGCCAGGACGTGGAGGTTCAAGTTCAGTGCTCGTTGTACTTGAGGAGTTTGCACTGGACAAGGCATTGGCCCTGAGGTATGGCCATGTTGCCTGAGAGGCGTCTGCCACTAAGCTGAGTGGGGGTGGGCCAGAGGAACACCCCAAGGTGATGTCACAAGACAGAGTCATATGAGCATGGAACTGGTAGAACGTGAGAAGATTCTAGGTATCAAAGAGAGTAGAAAGCAATAGGGGAGGAGCGCCTGGGTGCCTCAGTGGGTTAAGCCTCTGCCTTCGGTCATGATCTCAGGGTCCTGGGATCGAGCCCCGCATCGGGCTCTCTGCTCAGCGGGGAGCCTGCTTCCCCCTCTCTCTCTGCCTGCCTCTCTGCCTACTTGTGATCTCTCTCTCTCTCTCTTTCTCTCAAATAAATAAAATCTTGAAAAAAAGAGAAAGCAACAGGGGAGTTAGGTGTGGGAGCCAGGGTCAGAATCCTATCACCTCCAGGTTAGCAGGAGGTTGAACATGAGCTGTTCCAACAACCCAGCCAAGGTCCAGATCCCCACTGGTGCACTGACCTCCATGTTTACCTTTTCTGTCTCAGCTTGAATACCCCAGTGACAGGAGAGTCATTCCCTCCAAAGGTGTTTCTGTTTTTCTTCAGCTGGATTTCATGGTTAGTACATACTTCCATACACAAAGTACAGAACCACTCAGCCCTGGCCACAAATCAAGTAAAATCCCACTGCCTTGGAGGACTCTTTCAATATTTTACATTATGGCTATAGTTAGCCACTCCAATAGTCTTCTCTTCTCCAGACAGAACCTCCCCCAGAACTCTCAACCCTCGCGCTAGGATGCAACTCCGGGTCTTTGCCATCTTGGTTCCCCGCTCTGGGTCCTCCGTAGGCGCGGCGGAGGCCTGGAGCTGGTGACGTCATTGAGGCGGCGGACAGGGTGGAGGCCGAGGCTTTGTGGCCAGGAGCCTAGCTGCCCCACCCTCCCTTTATCGTCTGCTCTACGCAGGGACATCGCTAACAACCGACGGGAGCTGCGCCGCCTGGGCATCACGCACGTCCTCAACGCCTCACACAGCAGGTGGCGAGGCACCCCCGAGGCCTACGAGGGGCTGGGCATCCGATATCTGGGTGTCGAGGCCCATGACTCACCAGCATTTGACATGAGCATCCACTTCCAAACAGCTGCGGACTTCATCCACCGGGCACTGAGCCAGCCAGGAGGTAGGAGCGGGAAGCCAAGGGGAGGGAAGGAACCGGGGACATGGAGTTGGGGGAAAGCCGGAGGGTTCAAGGCAGGAGAGATTTGAGTGACATGACAGAGGCTCAGGATCTGATAGGAAGGCAAGAAAACACTGTCATCTGTCTGTAAAAGGCAGTGCATGAGAAGAAGAGAAGGAAAGAATCCACAGTGTTAACAGAGGCCCGATGCTAATGCACTTGGGAACGCTGGGCAGATCACCACTCTGTGCGAGACTCAGTTTTGCATTAGTGATGAGCATCTGTCTCCCTGGGAGCCCTTTTCAGGCTCCCGGAGGCTGAGCTGCTGCATGCTATCGGTCTGTCGTATCGTCCAGGCATCCCAGGGGTCGGCATTCCTCCCACCCGCAGTCTGCACCCTGCTTCCCCGTCTCCCTCCTCACCCGGCCCCATAGCCCTCGCCGCCCCCAGCCCATCACATACAGTCCCATGGCCGCCTCGTGTGTCTGTCCTCGCAGGGAAGATCCTGGTGCACTGCGCCGTGGGCGTGAGCCGGTCCGCCACGCTGGTGCTGGCCTACCTCATGCTGTACCACCACCTCACCCTCGTGGAGGCCATCAAGAAGGTCAAGGACCACCGAGGCATCATCCCCAACCGGGGCTTCTTACGACAGCTCCTGGCCCTGGATCGCAGGCTGCGGCAGGGTCTGGAGGCATGAGAGGAGGGGACAGGAGGTCAGGCCAGGCGCATTTGGCCCTGGCTCCCAGCTGGAGAGAGGAGGCCCAGATATCCCATCCTCTCCTGTGGGCAGGAGAGCAAGAGGGCTGGGGCTTCCACCACTGCTGCTGTTGGTTGGGAGGGTATGGGGGGTGAGGCTGGTTGGTGTGCTGGGCACCCAAGAGGGAGCTGACCGGGGAAGGAAGCAGCTAGAGCTGTAGGTAGATGGCAGTCCTGGGACTCCGACACCCTGGATTCCAGCCAGGCTGCTCCCAGTCACCCAGAGCCCCCTCCGCACGTGCACACACACACACACACACACACACACTGTTGTGCCCAAGGGTTCCCCCTTGCTCATTTAAGAACAAACGTGTCATCTCTGTCCTGTGCTTGTGCTGGGAGTCAGGGATGCCGCAAGCACGAACGCCATGCCATGGTGTAGATATGTTGTGTAGATGGTGGTGTTGAGACAGACGGTAAAGAGAGGGTGTGAAAAGCTGTGAAACCAGAGGGAGACACTCACAGACTTGTTACTCCAAGCGCAGGAAGAGAAGGTGTGGGAGGGTTGGCGCTGTGCCCGCGGGCGCTGGTCGCGGCCAGAAGCCGCAGAGGTGCATGCCTGTGAGTCTTGAGATGATGGCTCTCCTCCTGGCTGCAGATGTCTTGAGGAAAAATAAAGATGGTGGACAAGACCCTGGTGAAGTCGTTGACAGCTTGTAAGGGCTCCCCACCTCTCTCCTGGAAGCCCCTGGCTTTCTGGCCATAGCAACAGTTCCTGACTCCCTCATCGTGGTCATAAACCTCCAGCGGTTCTCAGGGGGTGGCTCTTTCCAGTCCAATTTCACGGTGGCCAGAAGCGAAATCTTGAAGTGTTGTTTCCCGCTGTGTCCACAGAGGGGCAGCAGAGGACCAAAAAAACGTTAGTCTTTGCACCCCCTGCTCTGTCTGCCAGGTTTAAACTAGGTCTCTGTTCCCCGGCTCAGGCGTGCAGGAAATGTTGCTTTATTTTCAAAAAAATTTCCAGATTCTATATCAAGTCCCCATCGTGATGGGATAGCAGAATATGAATCTTAAATCAACCCCTTCCCTAAATCCTACTTTCAGGGGGTCTGGGGCTTGCCTGGTAACTAGAAATTGGAGGAGAGGGAAGGAGGGGTGATGTAATGCTTCCTCTTGTCAGCTTTCCAGGTTTGCCTCATCAGCGTGTAACGCAGTCTCCTTAGTAAACTTGGTAAAAATTTAGACTCACCAACCAGAGAGAGTAGTGTGGTGTTTCTGCTATCCCAGCTGCCCAAACTGCCAGCCACCACCTCCCTCCTTTTAGAAAAAACATGTTCCCAGAACAGAATATCTGCATGAAGGGGAGAAGGGGACAGACGAGAAGGTAAAAAATACAGGGAAAGGAATTCCTTAATATACCCGAAGAGTCTGTCTTACCCCAAAGTATAGAAACTCAGAATCTCAAAGCTATAAGGTGCTTTCCTAGATGATCCATTTCCACCCTCCAACAAGGCATGAATAAATTCTTTCTTTAATATCTTTGAAGATCTCCATCCAGCACCTCCTTGGACACCTTCGATGGTGAGGAACTGGTACATAACTTCCATACCATCGTGCCAGCTCTGAATATGAGAAAGCTCTACAATCACACATGTTACGCAGTCCGGTTACAGTGGTCGTGACGTGAGGCCAACAGATCTGCCAGCCTGGGCTCCCTGGCTATGGGGGCCTTTGGGCAGGTCCCTTTGCCTCTTCCCCACGTCGCGTCACATGCGAGAGTTCTGTCTGCTTCCACAGGGTCGCAATGGGCGTTTAAGTATGTGGTACTGAGCTCAGAGCACAGTCAGTATTTAATAAGTGTTCTTTGTCTTGCCCTGTCCCTCCCTGTGGTTTGAAGCCAGCTCTCCTGGTTCTCCTGTGTCCTCTGCTTTCCACCTAGCAGCTTTGATCGTGTCCAAGAGTCTGCGTTCGTCCCGTTTCAAGTTTCTTCCCCAGCCTGGCTGACAGTGGCGTCTCTCTTCGGTTGGTGGCGACCAGGGCTGGTCTTAGCGCTTCAAGCAGAGTGTAGTCACTGGGACCTCAGATTTCTAGGACTGTTGAGGGTCAAGTTTATCTAAGGGGTAGAGTGAGGCCTTCATTAGGAATGTGGATTCCAATGAAAATGCATTGACTCCCTATCAGAACCATGGGCAGGAGGACTTAAGAATAAGTAGAAATAACCTAGAGGTAAGTCATCCAAGAGGACGGACTGACTACCGACCTGACCAGCACAGAGTACCATGGACTTGGCACCTCCTTTGTTCTAGTCTAGTATATGTATCTGTTACTGTTGATGTAACCCACAGCGCCTTCTAACTTCCAGTAGACAAGTATAACTACTAAAGTAGATTTGGCCAAAGGTGATCCTCACGGAGCAGGGGAGTTCGAGCCCCACGCTGGGTGGAGATATTGCTTAAATAAATTAAAACACAGCTGTGTGAGTGCAGACTGAATGTGCCTCACGCAAATCCCCTAGCATTGTCGTAAGCCGAGTCACTTGAAAATTTACGTCTGACTTCTAGTGGAGACGTGGAGCTACCAAACCAGATTTGGCCACAGATCATCCTCTCAGAGCAGGTTATGTAGTATTTAACAAAGCCATCTGACAGCTCTGCAGAGTCCGTCTTCAGCCTTTACAGATATTAAGATATTAACCCATTTAATCCTACTAAAAAACCCATGAAAGGTATCCTTCCTTGGCATTGCTTAAAAACAAGGCATCTGAGGTGAAGTAATTTTCACAAGGACACACGCAGAAGTGAGCAGTGGAGATGCCAGGATTCACCCCCGTGTAGCCATCCAGCCGCCCTGCCTTTCATCCCTCACTCCACCACTGAAGGCTGTTAAAAGTCCAGACTCCCTCATCCTCTTCTTGGGAGCAGCTGGCCGTTTGAACCCAAGCCAAGGACTTGGCAGTGGACAGGACTAAGTGAGCCCTTGGCAGAAGCAGCCTGAGCTTCCAGCCGGCCGGGCCCTGCCCCTCAGGGACGGCAGCCCATGTCTGTCTTGTCGTCCTGCTCTGCTCCTGCCCTGGCCGCCTCCAGCCCCGGCCTGGGTGATGCAGACTCCAGCCTCTGCAGCAAGCCCCTGAGCCTTCGCTACATCTGGGGAGAGGGAGAGATGTTTGCACAGTCCCTCACCCTGTAACTAATCCCAGCTGAGATGCTCCACAGGGAGGGGAGCTCAGGGAGAAGGGCTGCTTCTGAACCCTGAGGTAGCAGATGGAATGAGCTAGAGAGGCAGCTGAGCATTACACTGGCTGGAGAGGGCTGGGCTTGGGTGCACAGAAAGGCCCTTGCTAGAATAATCTCTTACAGAGAAGGCAGCCTTGTTGGGGGGGGGGGGGGAGCAGTGTAGTGAGTCTGGTTATGAAGAGAGATACACCCAAACTGAGGGTTACGAGAGGGGAGGGGTGAAATGAGTGAAGGGAATTATGAGTGCACTTGTGAGGAGCACTGGGTGATGGACAGAATTGTTGAATCAGGGGCACCTGGGTGGCTCAGTCGGTTAAGCAGCTGCCTACGGGTCATGTTCCTGGAGTCCCAGGATCGAGCCCTGCATTGGGCTTCCCACTCAGCAGGGAGCCTGCTTCTCCTCGTGCTCTCTCTCTCTCTTTCTCGCTCTCAAATAAATAAATTTTTTAAAAAAGAATCTGTTTTTAAAAAAGAATTGTTGAAGCACTGTATTATATACCTGAAACTAATATAATACTGTATGTGGAATTAAGGCTTTTTAAAAATAATAATAATAATAATACAAGAAGAAAGAAAGAGGAAGAAAAGAAAGAGAAAGAAAGAAAGCTGTTTATCATAGGTTTCTCTCCCCAGACCTTTTTTTTTAAAATCCTTTGCTCAGTTTTATTTATTTTTATTTTTTTTTAAGATTTTTATTTATTTATTTGACAGACAGAGATCACAAGTAGGCAGAAAGGCAGGCAGAGAGAGAGGAAGAAGCAGGCTCCCTGCCGAGCAGAGAGCCCAATGCGATGCGGGGCTCGATCCCAGGACTCTGGGATCATGACCTGAGCCGAAGGCAGAGGCGTAACCCACTGAGCCACCCAGGCGCCCCTCCCCAGACCTTTTTTTGAAGAAGGAGGAAAAGATTCAAAAGTTTAGGGAAGAGCTGTGTTCATACCCTAATGCCTGGATCCTATAAAAATATTACCTTCTGTGGCAAAAGGGATTTTGCAGAGGCGTTTAAACTACAACTTTATGGGGCGCCTGGCTGCCTCCATGGGTGGAAAATGCAACTCTCGATCTCGGGGTTGTGAGTTCAGGCCCCATGTTGGGTGTAGAGATTGCTTAAATAAATTAAAAAAAAAAAAAAACACTTTACAACCTCGCATGAGGAAATAACACTGGATTGCCTGCCCCATCACATGAATCCTGAAAAGCAGAGAACCTTTTCACACCGTGGTGAGAGATTTGATGTGGGGGCTGAAGCCCCTCTTCTGCCTAGAAGACAAAGGGGGGCGGGGTCATGAACGGAGGAATGCCGGCGGCTTCTGGAAGGAATGAAAAGGCACGAAAGTGGATTCTCCCCTGATCCTCCAGAAGGGAACACAGCCCTGCGGACAGGGCTTGAGTTTAGCCCCATGAGACTCTTGTCAGACTTCTGATCTGCAAAACTGTAAGATAATAAATTCGCATTGTTTAAGCCATTCAGTTTGTCCTAATTTGTTACAACAGCAGTGGGACACAACTATAAGCCCCTGGAATCTCCATGAAGACCTTTCCTGGTGAACCTCTAGCCATTGGTTCAAAATGCTGAGACTAATCTCCAGCATGGTTTGGTTTTTTGTTTGTTTGTTTTGAGTCAGCAGCTGGTGGCACACCGTGGAGGGTGACTTCACCAGGAAGGGCTTGCCCTCAGGGGTAGCACAGTGGCCGCCGGGGAGCCGAACCTGCCAGCAGAGGGCGCTCCGTGTTCTGTGCAACGTGTCCACGCCTGGGAAATGTTCCGCAAAATTTGGATTTCTAGTTTCTCTTAAAAAGTTAAAAGGGACAGTAGCCCATGTCTCCACATGACCATGGTGGGTGGGGGCTGTCCCGCTTCGATGAGGTGCCACCTGCTGTCCAGTTCACTGGGACCCATCACGATGTAGGTTCTTACACTGGAACCTACTTCACTCCTTAAGATCGTTTGCCTGCAGGCCCTGTGGTAAACCAGCTCCGCAGGGTCCTAACGTCTTACCCAGAAATGTAAGATAGTCTTTATGCTAAGCAGCTCAGAGTGGTCCACCTTGCCTCCTTTTTTCCCACTCCCCACCTCAACCCCAGCATTCTTGCAATGTTCTGTTTGTGGCCAGTAGTCACTAGCGTTCAGAATGGCCTGGGATTATTCCCTTGATTTGCTGGACACTTAAGGCCTCTTCCCAGTTCTCGTTTAGAGTCTGGAGGTGGCCTGGGAGAAGGTGGCCCGTACAGCCAGTCTCTCAGGAAGGAATCTTAAGCTGGTGGAAACAAGTGGAAAGTGACCCTGGGCAACAGGAGGAGGAATGTTTTATCATGTTCTGATGGTCTGCAGACTAAAAGAAAGGAACTCTCTTCCCCCTAGGTAACGTTCCCTGAGGCAGTTTGTATTTTTGAGAATTGTGGGATGATTTTGGGAAGGGAAAAAATCAGAGGGGAGGGGCCTCCCCCTGCTTGTCTCCGGTTCTCTCACAGACTGGGGCGGGGCTGGGCGAGTCCACATCTGCCACTTACAGCCTCGACAGAACCTGAGCTCCTAATCCCCCTTGAGGCCAATGGCAGCCGGGAAGAGGACGAGGCAAGGGGGGCAGTAGAAATATTAACCTGGGGGTAGGGAGTGCCTGGGTGGCTTAGTTGGTTAAGCGTCTGCCTCCGCTCTATTCATGATCTCAGGGTCCTAGGATCGAGCCCGCTTGGGGCTCCCTGCTCAGCGGGGAGTCTGCTTCTCCCACTTCCTCTACCACTCCCCACGCCCAAGCTCATGCTCTATCTCTCTTCCTCTTTCTCTCTCTCTCAAGTAAATAAATAAAATCTTAGAAAGAAAGAGAGAGGGAGAGAGAGAGAGAGAGAAATACTAACCTGGGAGGAAGACAGAGGCTGCTTCAAGAATCTCCGTATCTCCACCTGCAGGACGGAACACAAGGCTAAGTCGTACTGACCACCTAGAACACTCCTTCCTAGCTGCGCAGCACCTTGGCCCCTGGCCAGGGATGGGAGGACACTCAGTTTGCATTAGGAGAAAGGAGAAATGTGTCACAAGATCAGGAAAGGGGTTAAAGAAGCGAGGAGGAGCCAGACACCCAGAGCAAAGGCTCTTTCCCGTGTGTCCTCTGCCAACACCTGCGTGTCCCACAAACTCCCAGCTGCCAAGCAAGACAAGGCTGTGATCCAGCCCAGCTCCGGACACACAGGTGAATGATCACAACCTCAAAAACACCAGAACTGGAAGGAATCCAGGAGCATTTTTCATTTGGTGATTTTCCGACCATGCCTCACAGAGCCCCAGCATTTCAAAGATTTTATTTATTTATTTGACAGAGAGAGAGATCACAAGTAGGCAGAGAGGCAGGCAGAGAGAAAGAGAGGAAGCAGGGTCCCCGTTGAGCAGAGAGCCCAATGTGGGGCTCAATCCCAGGACCTTGGGATCATGACCCGAGCCGAAGGCAGAGGCTTTAACCCACTGAGCCACCCAGGTGCCCCAGAGCCCCAGCATTTCAAATAACTTTTCATGGGGCCACCGATGTGGGGGCAGGTACAGGGAGAGACACCCCATGGTGATTCCAACAGAGCAGATCTGTTTTTATTTCTTTTATGCAGGCAGTTTCTGTTTAAAAATATTATTTAATAAAAAGAATCTGCTCAAAAAAAAAAAAAAGTTCTGGAATCTGCCAGTCTCATCGGATTCTTCACTTTCTAAATGAGAAAGCAGCTCTGGAGAGGTCACTAACTGAAAAGTCTCAGAAAAGGCACCAACACCAGGACCCAGGTAGAGAGAGATGACTCATGGTCCACTAGATTCCATTACGTTCTCCACTTCTTCCCGTTATTAATAGAACCACCCTGAGTTTCAGCAGGACTCATGGCTGTCCATCAAGAGACTCCATTTCCCAGCCTCCTTTGCAGCTAGGTGGAACCATGTGACCAAATTCTCACCAGTGGGAGGGGAACAAGAGTAATGCTCTATTTCTCAGAGAGAAGACATTGTCCCCCTCACTCTCTCGTACCCTCCCTTGAAACATAAGGTTGAAACATAAGACACATAACTGGCAAGCCAACTTCTAATGGATGAAAAAGGAACACATCTCAGGATGAGGCCAAGTGGCAAGAGAAAAGAACCTGAGTCTCTGATGGCTATGGGAAGCCATGCTTCCTCCTTCCCCTTTTCTTGGAATATTTACAAGACAGAAATAAACTAGATTTTTCTGAGCCTCTGCATTTTTATGTCTCTTTGCCACAATAGCTGTATTATTTTTCCATTGCTAAACAGCACATTACCCCAAAACTCAGTGGCTTACAACAACAAAAATTTATTGTCTCATAGTTTTTGTGGTTCAGGAATTCGGTGTGAATGAACTGTGTGTGTGTTTTTTTTTTTTTTTGTCTCGGAATCTCCTGCGGTCACAGCCAGGGTGTTGGGCAGGCCCGCAGTCATTGGAGGTTTGACTAAAGCAAAAGTATCTCCTTCCAAGCTCATTCACGTGGCTGTTAATGGAGACTTTCCCCACCACATGGCTTTTCTGTAGGTTAAGTGCCTTTGAAGGAAACTACAGTGCATTTATGACCCGGTCTCCAAAATCAGGAACTGTCACCTCTGCTTCATTCTACTTGTTAGAAGGTCCGAAAGCCCAGTGCTGTCTCCAGGGAATGGGAACTAGGCTCCCCCTCTTCAGGGGAGGAATATTAAATAATTTGTGGGCATGTTCTTGAAACCACCCCAGTGAGGACCCCTGTATCCTAATTAATACATTAGACATACTGGCTCTTTGGTCCAATGACACTTTTGAGCCATGAGACTTCAGGATGTAGTTTAATGATAATAAAAATGAACATTTACTGGGGGCTTTCTGGTTCCTGTCACATGCCAAGCATTTATCACACATGGTTCCTCTTGGGATCCTCTACGGTACATTCTACTACTTGCCCTGATTTTCCAGGTAAGGAGTCTAAGGTTTAGCTGAGTTCACACCAGGCCAGATTCTAGAGCCTTCACATGTAACCACTGTACCAGCGTTGAGGAAAGAGCACGTTTGGTGGAAAGGGATGTGAGATTGGTTGGAAATCTGTCACCAACACTTAAGAGTTCCATGATTTTCGGGGCACCTGGGTGGCTCAGTGGGTTAAGCCTCTGCCTTTGGCT